GTCCGGCCACTGCACTCTAGCCTGGGCGACTCCGTCTCAAAACAAAACAAACAAACAAACAAAAAAGAATTATTCTGAATCTAGTGGTAAAAGATGTATAGTAAAGAGTGTCAAAATGGTTCGTTAGTCACCTTTTTCTCTTTTTTTATTTTGGTGTTTGTTTGTTTGAGACAGGGTCTCACTCCGTGGTCCAGGCTGGAGTATAGTGGCATTATCACAGCTTACTGCAGCCTCAGTCTCCCAGGCTCAGGTGATCCTCCCACCTCAGCCTCTAAAGTAGCTGGTACTACAGATGCACATCACCATGTCCAGATAATTTTTTAAATGTTTTGTAGAGACAGAAAAGGCTACCATGCCCAGCTAATTTTTGTAGAGATGAGGTTTCATCATGTTGCCCAAGTTGGTCTCAAACTCCTGGGCTCAAGCAATCCTCCCACCTCAGCTAATTTTTGCACTTTCTCTAGAGATGGGGTTCCATCATCTTGCCCAGGCTGGTCTCACACTCCTGGGCTCAAGTGATCCTCCCACTTTGGCCTCCCAAAATGCTGACATTACAGGTGTGAGGACCCTTTTTCTCGTTTTTATGTTAAGAAAATGTGAGAAAAGAACCATTAATGTTTCAGTTCAGCTAATTTTATAATCTCTAAAAATTTACTTCAGCAATATTTTACTTTAAAAAGCCAAAAATGAACATAAAAGAAGTTATCATTTTCAAATACTTTCTCCCAGCTCAGAATACATGTTAGCACTTAATAGTCGAGCATTATATTATAAATAAGAGGGTACAGTTAAAAAGAAAGAAAACATGTTAGTCCTTGGGTTTCTGGTCAAGTTTCAATAAATATTGCTTTACAGTAAAATGTTAAGAAAATATCTGAAATGAAGGAAGGAGTGTATTCAATGTATCACATTTAAGTTATAATGAATAAACCTTCACTTTTTCTAATACACAGATAATTAATCATGACGTTCCTGAAAAAAAATGAAAAGTACAAATGTTAACTTTTGAAAATTACACCTGTCCGTTTTTTTTGTTTCAGGAAGTGATTTGGATTAACCCAGATGCAAAGGCTAAAATAATAATAATAATATTTTGCTTCACAATATAGAAGGAATAAAGGAGATAAAAAATAATCCTTTATAAGGCATGAATCACCTGTGCTCTTTCACTGAGCTTCCAGATTTCACAAGCTGAGGAAAGGCTGACATTGCTGGACAAACAGAAAGAAGACCCCCTCATTACGGTATCTTTTTTCGTTTTTAATTTCAAAGGCTTAAAAATCCATTTTCTTTAGTTTTTGTTATATAGTTTCTAATTATATAATTAGAAGTGTTGTGAAATCTCAAACTCTGCTTTCCACAGAATTCCAACAGAAAAAAATGCATTTGAAAGGAAATACTGTAAACAGAAAAAAAATTGATACTTCTTTAATAAGTTCTCAGCCTACAAGTTTTATCCATTTCTAACAGTAAAATGGTAACAATTTCAGGAAAAATGATAATGATAAAAATAGCCTGTTCTCCAGAATATTGGAATCTTTAAAATGGCCCTTTCTAGGTATAACGCCATATTTTAGTTTTGAACCTATACAAATGAAAATGTTCTCAGTGGCAGAAAAATCAGTGTATTAAATTATGCAGGAAATCATTGGGCCTGATTTTATATTAGTTGATTGCCTCTACTTTATTTATCTCTTTTGTTACAAAGGGACGTACATATTAATGTAGAAATGTGTCTCATATTTTGCTTGAGATTATGACTGTTTCATATGGAAGCGATAAACTTGTTAATTTGGTTTTCTATTCTTATTTTTGGGGTATTGAAATCTGACCACTTCATCAATCAAAAAATAAATCACTTCATTTTAAAATTAGGAAAATAGGCCTCTGATAGGTTAGGTAATATGACCAGGATTTGAAAACTAAAACTCTTAGCTACTTTTCTTTGGGAAAAAATGAATGTTAGCAAAAAAGAAAAAAAGAGAGAGAGAGAGATTCATTATTGAAGTATTATGTGATTGCAAAAGTATTAAGAAAGAATATTTTTATAATAGTCTTCAAATAATTACCATTTGAGATGGATTTGTTTTTTACATTTTGTTTGGATGAGAAAATTCAGAAGTGAAGATTATATCAAAAAATGAAAGTTTAACAGAAATATTAAATTTTGAGTTGTTTGTTGATAATAAAAATTAATACTGATGGTAAAATTAAATGAGTGTTTCATATTTCTAACAATATATGTATTTTAGGTTATGAGTTAACATTAAATTTTTCTGTCCAGTGTTTTACGTATGTAAGGTGAAAATTAGAGACAGATCATTTTAGTGGAAATTTCTTAGGTTTTTTATGTGTTTAAATTATGATATCAACAGAATACCATAAATTTTTTTGAGAACAGAAAATCCACACATAAATTACATAATCATCTCATATATAACTTCATTTATGCTTACATTTTTCTGTCATCTATGTGGATAATTTACATATAGCATGATATTTAAACATTTACCTTATCATTACAACATAAGCATTTTTCAAATTTCCACAAAGTCTTCATGATTATGAATATATTTTTAATTATCAGTAACACTGAAATGAACACTAGTGGGTTTTTTCTATTGTTTAATTTATTGACAATGATTTCCAAAAAATGGGTTTTTAAGTTAGAAGTATCAACATTTTCATGTTTCTTTTGTGTATTGTTATATGACTATTTAAAAAATTATCTAAATTAATAGAACTAATGGTTGTGTAAAAGGTTGTATATCTCACCACATTCTCAATCATATTATGGGTTTGCCTTCTTAAATAACTGTTTAGTAATCATAAAATAATAGGTAAAAAGGTAGGATCAATATTTGTTTTCTTGACAATTAAATGAGAAATTTTGTCATGATTCTTTTTTTTTTTTTTTTTTTTTTTTTTTTTTTTTTTTTTTTTTTGAGACGGAGTCTCGCTCTGTCACCCAGGCTGGAGTGCAGTGGCCGGATCTCAGCTCACTGCAAGCTCCGCCTCCCGGGTTCACGCCATTCTCCTGCCTCAGTCTCCCGAGTAGCTGGGACTACAGGCGCCCGCCACCTCGCCCGGCTAGTTTTTTGTATTTTTTAGTAGAGATGGGGTTTCACCGTGTTAGCCAGGATGGTCTCGATCTCCTGACCTCGTGATCCGCCCGTCTCGGCCTCCCAAAGTGCTGGGATTACAGGCTTGAGCCACCGCGCCCGGCCATGATTCTTTATTTACTTTATGTAGTGTTATTAGAATTCACTATTCTTAACCTTTGCTCCTATCTGTTGAACTCTATGTATTTCTTTTAAATAATATGTTCTTCTTATGCCATAGATATGATATATGCCATAGATATGCCATAATAGACATAAGTGTTTTTCCATTGGTTAAAATTTACCAAAAACAAATTTTTATTTCTTTTATTGTCTGATCACCAATGAAGCTGCTTGGTTCCAGAGGACCCAAAGACAAGATGAAGCCTCTGATTTTGTTTGCAATCATTTTGATCTTCACTGCTTACCCCACGGTAAATATAAAATATTTTACATGTATTTATTTTCTTATTCAGTTCCTAATCATAAGGGGTACATTCAGTTCATTGTTTTATGCCAATGTAGCTTTATACTAAACATACCCTGTTTTTATTTTATTTCTAATACCCTAATTTAACTTTCTCTAAGATCTTTTGTTGACTTTGGAATGTAATCCTATTATTTTTCTTTTCCCACATACTGATAGGTCTCTAGAATTCCAAACACATGTAAATTGGTCATTGCAGTATTGTGATTTTTAAGTTGTTAAGGTACTCTGATTCTACCTTTGCAGGAGCACTCCTACATAAAATTTAGTCCTTGGTGGACTCTCCAAAAATAAAAAGCTGGGAAGAAGAAAACTCTATAGAGTTTCTTATAGAGTTTCATAAGAAACTCTATAAAATGAATTTGCAACCACATAAAGAATTCAAATAAATTAAGAAAATCTAGACATGGTATTAACTTCCAAGCAAGAGCATGTGCTTGCTATCCCTAATATTTTTAGATTTGTTAATCTAACACCTGCACCTAAATTACATTACCTAGAGGATGAGAAGGACATTGTCTAAGACTTATTTCTGAGAACATAATCCAGTATCATTTCATGAACAACCAGTGTCTTATGGGCACTGCTAATTATGGGAACTCCCTCTTCTCCTCCTTCCCCATGCTAAAATGTAGCCAGGAGGATTTCCCATCCCATGAAAAATCCTATTCCAGAGCTTCTTGGGACCATTCATTTTTCTCTTCCATAAAAGACAGGTTGGCTTTTTTCTCACACCAACTTCATAAAGATTATTGTAGTAGTAGCATAGTGGTCTCCAGCTGGACACCTGAGTGAATAGTAGTTATAATGATAAAGGAAGTCAAATCTAGCACTACCTGGTCACTGGAGACCAGGTACCAACACACTCATGTGAATGTGGAGGAAAAGGAATCCTTCTGCTAAAAGGATTCAAGAAAAATAGATCATCCTTATTCCACAGACTGTGCACTCTTTAAACTGTTAGAATGTTGCTCATGCAACGATGACACCAGAAATTCTTAAATTGTATTTCATTCTATTCATCCTAATGCAAACACATTTTACCCTCATACCTGACTTACAATCACTACTCTTCTCAAAATGCCATACATACTCTGGATCTAATTTTTTAATGTTTGTGTTTCCCATCTCTTTTTAGTCTGTTGATGCGCATAAGAAAAGAAAACACAAAATAAGTTTTATTACATTTCTGGTTATCTTTTTACATTTTCAATCATAATCAAAAGCCATTTTGTCTGACAAGTTGATAAGGTACAAATATTTTATTTCCAACCAAAGAAAATGTTAAGAGACAGAGTCTGAATATCAAAGTTTAGGAAACAAATGGGAATAGTTGTGTAAGCACCAAAATCTTGCATCAATTACCTGCCTCTTGATATGTATTAGTCTGCAATGGGAGTAGGAAAACTTACTTCATGAAATGCAATGCTTTCCTAGCTGTCAGTTCCAAAATCAATATTTCTTCATTCAATGTAGGTATATTTTCCTTATACATGTTGATGGTTTTTTAAATAAGGCACATTTTCTATGATCCTGCAAAAAAACAAAAACTCTTTATTTTCTTAAACTCAGTGGTGTCCAATGAAAAAGGGGAGGAAATCCAAAATCATCTGGAAAGACTTTTCAAAATTCCAAATCCCTGTATCTACCCTCTGCCATTTCTAATTGTCATAACCCCACCCCACATCAGACTGGAGGTGGAATGCACAGAAGGATGTGTTACCTGAAAATACTTGTCTTGACATCCTGTTAGATCCCCCTTCTCCTTTCTCCCCACAACCAGACATGTACTCTAAATGAAGCCTTAAAACCAAAAAAAAAAAAGTTATCCTACCTCTAATGCTGTGGAATAGACATTTCTAAGTTTAACGACCCAAATTGTTCTAACATTCAGAAGAAAAAAAATATTCCAAACCAGCCTTGAAAATTTCAGCAATGTACTTCTTCTCCATTCTCTTTTTTTCTCCACCCCTTCAATCCCATCACCTTATGATTCTCAATGTGAAATAATTCTGAGAAATGGCCAGATACCTGTAACAGGATTGGTCTGACAACCTCCATTCAGTGAAACCTAGACCAATCTATGAATATTCAATTTGTCCCAAACCCTGATCATTCCATAGCATCCCTGAAATCAGCTACTCACATCTACCTAACTGTTGGAGTTGTAAGTAGGGAAGAGAGAAACTGCAGAGTAGGATATTTTTCTCACTCACTGATCACTGGTTTATATTATTACATCACATTTCCTTTTCATTGCCTAGAGGTAAATGTAGCCACATATACCAAGGCATCAATTTGGGAAATATACATGAGATCTTACATCTACAGAGCAATAAAAATCTTGAAAACGGTCAAGAGAAGAGAAAACAACATTGTTAGAATGTTAAAGCAGCCCTCTAGTTAAATTAATTTATCCTAGAAGTTGAGTGGCTCCTGGGTCTTCCAGTAAAGATCTACGGTAGTATGAGATCTATTCAGTGAACAGACAACACTGTCAGAGTCACATGGCACGGGAGCACCAGAGCCCGAGAAGTGAAAGTCTTCCCCCAGTAGTCCACACTATCAGATACTCCAAACCCAGTCTAAAATATATGGGCATTAGGAAGATGTACAACACAAAAATAGATAAGAACTAATCCGGCCGGGCGCGGTGGCTCAAACCTGTAATCCCAGCACTTTGGGAGGCCGAGACGGGCGGATCACGAGGTCAGGAGATCGAGACCATCCTGGCTAACACAGTGAAACCCCGTCTCTACTAAAAAATACAAAAAACTAGCCGGGCGAGGTGGCGGGCGCCTGTAGTCCCAGCTACTCGGGAGGGCTGAGGCAGGAGAATGGCGTGAACCCGGGAGACGGAGCTTGCAGTGAGCCGAGATCCGGCCACTGCACTCCAGCCTGGGCGATAGAGCGAGACTCCGTCTCCAGGAAAAAAAAAAAAAAAGAACTAATCCTTCATAGAGAGGAAGGTGAAGCATCATATTTAGAACTTCAAGAATTAGCCTCTGCCAGTGAAGACAAAATGAGAGACCTGAGCCTAATCAAAAATCCTGAGGGAATGTCATGTCAAAACCCTGTGTAACTGAAGTGAATTAAATCAAAGTGTCCTTTGCGTTACTGAATTAAGGCTTTCACAGGGTAGAAATACACTGACTCAAGGTAATTCCAGCTTTTAGTGTCTGTGATTCCGTGCAATGAGTCAGCCACATGGATTCATGGAATGCTTTATCAATCTCATTGTATTTTCAGGTCTATGAAAGGGGACAATGGAAAGTTTCTCTTTATTCAGAGCAGTAAAATGCATTATACTTTTTTACAGGATGGAAATTAGAACAGATTTCTCAACAAGTGCTCCACAAAACACTAAAACACTAGTATGAAGAAATGCTACACATACACACACACACACACACACATGAAATTTCTATGATTAGGTAAAATTGAGAGATATCGATATCCTTTAGATATTCTAAATATCCACTATATATTATGTTAACGATTCCAATAAGTCCTGCAGTAAAGAAACATGTTTTACTTTACCCAAAACCTTTCCAAAGTTATTTGGTCACCAAAATTTTCACAGCATAATGCATATTATGGAATATATTTTGGAAAAACCTGCAATAAAACTATCGAACTTTGAGAACAGTAGGGACACAGTTTACTTCATTTATATCCCACCCAAAATCATAATTTAAAATGCTGTATAAGGCAGGCATATTTTTCTATCAACTTACTTATGAAATGAATTAGAATAATTATATAAATTTAAACGGTAATATAAATACATATTTAAAGCCTAACTTTATGCATACTAAATGTGTAAAAACAATTATTTGTTTGTTTTGTGTTCTCTCTCTGAAGTCTAGCCATAGCTCTGAAAAGAATTCTAAACCATTTAAACAAAGAAGTCCTGGAAAGTCAAACTACGAACAGTTTACAACATTGGAAACGGTTCCTGCAGTTACCCCTGGTCTCCCAGATCTCTTCCGCCATCAAAGCCCTCACCAACCAAACCTCCCACGTTGTCCATCATCTGGACCTACGCAACCACCTGAGAATGATGTAAACCCTAGTTCTCAAGCGCTGCTAGCCACCTCTGCTCCTGCAACTGTTGCGGCCACCACGGCCACTTCCATTGCCTCTATCAGGAAAACTACAGGTGCCACTTCCAACACCACAGCTCCCAGCAGGCTCCAATCTGAGACTGTCACAAACACTGCAGCAGCTGAGTCTAACCCAGCTGAGGTGGCTGACACCACCCTTGCCAACCAGCAAGAATAGTTTTAGCATATTCTGCAACTGTCTGAGACTACAATAATACCAAAATCACAAGAAGATAAAAGCAACCCAAGGTAAATATTTTCCAAAATATTTTCTGACTAACTTTGAGATGTGAATGGTCACAATCAATGAGAAAGATAAACAAATAGTTTCTAACTCTGGTATATGAATTAGAAGCTCTTATTCCCCCTTTATTTCACAAACTAAATTTGGTCTCCTTGAGTATAAGTCATATCTATAAACCTGATAATGCTGACTGATTACCACAAAAGAAACACACAATTAAAGGATCACCAAATGTGTACAAGACTTTGCTTTTTTATCCCAGTATTAAAATATGTTTTATTTTCCTGGAAAAGCTTACTTTTAATTAGGGCTTTCATAAGTTAAAGTTAGTTTGGACTTCAATATTTATTAGATTTCACAAAGTGCACATTCCACGTAGGAAGTCTTCCTCACTCTTTCAGCACCTGCCAACAATAATAAGACGAAAAAGGAGTAAAGATTGTGGAAATATCACAATTATCCTTGGGAATAGTAATATAAACAAAACCCAACCAATAGAAGAGCTCTCTTGCTATAAAAAATGACTGAATCACACACATCATGATATAACATGATCATTCAGAAACAATATCAAAGAAGTAGGAGATCATAAATTCATCTTATTTCTGAATATAGCAGCTTCTAATTATAAATATAAATGGGAAGAATTATCCTAAGTATAGAATGTAAAAATCACAATGATAGATGCCAACTGTTGAACACTTAGTTCAGATTTGTGTAGCATTAAATATTCCTATTGAATTTAATTTTATTTTTTTTGAGACGAAGTCTCGCTCTGTTGCCCAGGCTGGACTGCAGTGGCATGATCTCAGCCCACTGCAACCTCCGCCTCCCAGGTTCAAGTGATTCTCCTGCCTCAGCCTCCCGAGTAGCTGGGACTACAGGCGCGAGACACCACGCCCGGCTAATTTTTTGTGTTTTTCGTAGAGACGGGGTTTCACCATGTTAGCCAGGATGATCTCGATCTCCTGACCTCATGATCTGCCTGCCTCGGCCTCCCAAAGTGCTGTGATTATAGGTGTGAGCCCCCGCTCCTGGCCTTGAATCTAATTTAATACTCATATCAACCCTGTGAAATCAGTCTCATGGGCTTTTTTTTAAAGATGAGGGTACTGAGGCTATGAGAATTTACATGACTTTCCAAAGATCACAAAGTCATAAACTGTAGACTAGTCTTCAAATTCACATCCATTGAACTCTAAAGTTGTAGCTTCTAATGTCCTACTCAGCATTTGGCTATTTTAAAACAATTCGAGAGGGTAGAGCTTATGTACCTTTAGTTAATGGCTCATGATATTTTGTTTTGTTTTCACAGATCCTGAAAAACTGAATATTGATATATTTGTGATCACCTTCTCTCAGCACTTTGTTTTAAGAAAAATATAGGAAGAGGTATAAAAACATAGATATATGATTTTTTCTGTTTCTTCTTTCATCTTTCTACACTGTAAAATCATTCAAAGATAAACCTGATTTATGCATTTGATTATATGTGTATTGATCTCTTCTTTATTCCTGTAGAATGACAGCGCTAATATCAGCACATTTATCCTATCAAATGTTTCTATAACACACAAAGTAGTGTCAAAAAAAAGTAAATTCTTCACAGACTAAAAAAAGGTGTTTAAAAACCACCCCATATAACATGTTAAAATATTACAAATCTTAGAAATCAATTTTCTTTTTTATATAAAACACAAGTACATGTAGTCATAATCAAACACATCTATAAAAATACAATTATATTTTATATAAATGCACAACATAAAATTACAAATATGAGAGCTACAAAAAAGTGGTGAAAAAATGGCAGTCCTACTCTCAAAGGGATCATAGTCTAAGTGAGACATTTTCAAAAAGCCCAGAAAAAAGTAAGTTAAATTCCTACAGATCTACAGATATTCTTTCTCAATTGCTACTTCTTCTACTAAAGAAGTATTTTCACTAGAGATTGTTTAACCAAAGCTTTGTACCATTTCATATATCATTTCATCCAATGACACATTAATATTAGGTCAATATCTAGTCGATAAAATCACTCCTGTGATTTAGTAAAACTTACCTAGATTTAGGACAGGGTATATAAGAGTACAAATACAAGAGCATTACTCCTCACAACACAAGTTCTCCTGGATATTGATGGGTATGAAAAAAGAGGAGAGGAATAAGAAGGAAGAAGAAGAGAAAGGTAGAATAATGAGAGAAACCTGAAGAAAAAGGAGCAAACAGCAGATTAAAAAGGGAGCAGTCAGAGGTGAGAGAACTAAGAAACTTACATGAAGGTCAAGTAGAGAAAAAGGCTTTAGAAAGAGGGTTAAACACTTTAGAAGAGAGAGTAAGAAGGAAAATAAGAAGAGAAGTATAAGGAACAAATGAATGGCAAATGTTTGGAAATAAGAGTTTCATCTGTTGCCATTTCTCTCTTCAGATTTTCCTGTGAGCCCTGTTTTTGCTATTCACCCATACTTCTTTGTCTTCTATCCTGGGTTCAGTGTTAATTAGTACATCTCAATTTCCATTTCATTGCCTTGACTCACACATCTCTAACATTCTGAAAGAGGCTTCCAATTATCTCCATTTACCCTAGTAAAGGTCAACCCTCTTGGCTCAATTACCAACTTCTTACTGAAATATTATATGACTCACGGATATCAGCTTGATGTTGCTCTGTCCTTCACCGTTCATATCTAGACCATCAAAACGATCTGTTGATTACATCCCATGAAAACATCTTTATTCTGTCCACTTATCCATCCATAGTCCCTTTGTCACTATCCAAGTCTATCTGGACAACTGTAGTAATAGCCTTTT